TTTCAGAAGTTTAAGAATCCTTGGTTATTTCTTAATATCAAAATTTATGCAAGTTTCTTTTTTGAATGTTTTCTAAGTTGAAAGAGGCAATTGTGCAAAGCCTCCTATTTTCCATGTAGGATAAATTCCCTGTTTCAGCTAACTTTTATGGAGGGGCAACTAATACAACACTATCTCCCTGGACAAAGAGCATCAGAATATTATGTCTTGTTGATTTATAGAGCTCTTCATAGATTTACTCATTAATTTCTATAGTAATCATAGTTTCTTCCATATCTCCAAATACCATAATTAAATGTTGACCATACGCATAAAATCTGCCTTGAAACTCTGTCATTTCTCATTTTCACATAAATTCACTCATACAAGCTGAGCCTCACGAAATCCAGGAATTCCTCCATTGTGTTGATTGTTGCTGGTCCACATTGTCCACCATGTTTCAAATCCTGCACCCTTTCCCCTATCTCTGTTTTGTATTGGGTAATTTTGTTTCCTTTATTTTCTTTTTTAAATTTACTGGTTTGAAAATTATACTCAATTTTTTTTGCTTTGCGTACTTTTCTTGCAATGCACCTCTTCTTTCTAGACTCAATTTTCGACTCATTCCATAAGTCTTTTAATAAAAATCTTTCCTCTGAAAATGTCTTTATTTTGTTCCCAATTTTAATTGATAATGTATCTAGGCATTCAATTCTAGATTGATAATTGTAATAATTTTGTTTCAGTATTCCAATTTCTTGTTTTGCTATTGAGAAATCAGCTACTAATCCTTTGTACATATTTTCTTTCTGCTTGTTTAAGAATTTCTATTTTTTTCTTTGACCTTCTTTACATTTCACTACAATGTACCTGGATATTAATTTATTTTGCATTTATTTAGTGTATATTCCCTGAAATGGAACTGCTGTGTCACAGAAAATTTTCTTTCTCAGCCTTCCCAGTGAATACCAACTTGTTTCTTTCGAAGTTCTGAGTTCTTATAGCTTTATATTATATTATGTAATATGAATTTTTACATGCTTATTTTATAATACTTTGTCAGAAATAGAGGAAGACTGCCTTTCAGTGCCCCAAATGAGAAAAAAAAATTCAATTATATGTCAGGGTACAGGCCAGATGCATGGGAGGGTGAGAGGATTCACCAGAGACAGAGTGGGGAATAGAACAGGCAAACTGACGAAATACACTGCTGAGTGGAGCAGCTGGCGTGACAGGAGAGGTCTGCCGTGCCATGTGGGACCCTTGCTGGCCGGGATCGAATTGGCGCTGCAGAGGCTGCGGACAGCTTCACAGCGCGGTGCTCAACCGCCTGCACCACCAGGGGAGGCCCGGCATTTAATTTTAAACAAAACTTTTTTGCGCTGATTTTTGTAAATTCCTTGAAAATAGGCTTTGTTGAAAGACCCTTTTGACACATATTTTTTGTATTTTGAAATTTTCACTTACCGTCTTATAAATTAAACTTCTACATTGATTTGAAGCTTTGGTCAAAAAATTCCCTAAAATAATTTTTAGAAGTTCTGTTTGCTACTTTTCAAATGTGTCTATTTATACATATTTGAATTGCTATGAATTCCATTCCTTTTTGTATCACAGTAATAATTTTCTTTCTTTCAAAGTGAAAATAGCTTTTGATCTTATTCTCAAATTACATTCTCCTCCCCCTCAATTTTAAATATAAGAATGCATAGAGTCATTTCAATGTCTCTAGTTCATCTTAGTGTTTTAAAGTGACTATTGAATTTATTTCATTATTTAGGAAGAACTACTTCAAAGACATTTTAGAAAATCAAGTAATTGGATATTTTATCTCATCTTTTTTGTTGTTGCAGATTTAAAATATTTCGGGGTAGGAAATTCAGCAGTTTTACATGTTGTTTGCACTTTTAGGAATATTAAAAAAAAGTCAGGGACAAAGTCCTAAAAGCTTATTTTCTTTTATTTTTATAAGGAGATAATTAGTGGCTAGTAGGGTCATATTTCATATTAACCCTTCTTGTTCTTATTGTCTAACCTACTCTAATGTTACTGGGCAGGGTGAGGGGCTCCCCAGAACCCTCAAAGCTGCTTGCTCTAAATAGGTTCTGTCATCCACCGCATCAAGACAAAACATAGTCTAATGCATAAGAACTAATGGAAAGGAGCTTTAATCCAATTAGAGTGCAATAAAGATAAGGGAGAGAATATAGTTTCCAAATCAAGCCCCCAAAGTTACCCGTCCCCTCAGGGCTAAATGTCCAGACAAACAGGATTGGCCCAAAGCAGGGCCACTGAGGCCTGAAAGCCTCCCACAATTCCAAGTCACCGCCTGGTGGGGATCAACAGGAAAGGGGCAGAAGGAGCCAGATAAGTTTGGAAGGAAAAAAGCAAAATCAAAATGAAGATAAGAGCTGCCAATGTTAACCTCCCCATGGGTCTCTCACCCACATCTCTTTCAAGTGTCTTATTCCATGTCCCTGGTACAAATCCAAGGCTGGACTTGTACCAGCTTCTTCACATATCTCTCTGCCCCATGCGCCTCCTCCAGGTCTCCTTCTGGCTCTCCATCCTGCTTCCTTCCTTCCTCACTTTTCCTCTCCAGCTTCTTTTCTTCACTCTCCTCCCAGCTTTCTTCACTCTGCTTTGGGTGGGGCAGGGAACCTGGAACTTGCCCTTTTCCTGGGGACCACCCTGTTACACTCCCTTGCTCAGCAAAACCCTTCCTTGGGTAGGGCAGGAAACCTGGAACCTCCTCTTTTCCTGGGGACCACCCTGTTACAGGAATATATTTTTTTCAGTCTACTTTTGCCTCCATTGGACACAGTGGGGAGAAAAAATGCTTTTGCAGGGTGTAGCACAATTAGTCTACCCTAAATGCAGTAATACATTATGTTGATAAGAACTGAAAGAGCTATACCTACTGTGGTCTGAAAAACAGTAAATTGTTCTGCAATCAAGGTGCTCCCATGGAATAAACAAAGCTCTTCTTTGTTCATTTTTTTTTAAATCTGTAAAACGTGGCCACTATTATTTTTGACTTTTTTGATGTCATGCAAAAAATCTAATTTAATAGAAAACAATTTGAGATAATTTAATGAATATTTATAGATATTGCAACTATTTTTACATTACACTACTCTTCACAGCCAATAGTCCCAATTCATTTACTTATGATTTTCTAAAAGACAGGACTGCATATTAAATATTGAATGGAAATAAAAAAGACATAGTTATAGGATATATAGAAGAGGAATAACCTTACAGTAATCTCATTTAAAAATAGTTGTATTCTAATTTTATTGGAGTAGATAATATTGCAAGGTTCAAAATTTAAAAGGCACAAAAGTACATACAAACCGCCTCTCCTCTCCTCCCTCCCCCCACAGTGTCCCATCCACTCAGGTCTCTCCAAACAATCAAGCCTACTTCTTATGTCTACAGGTATCTACAGATATTATACATAACAGCACCTCCCCATCCCGACTTTTTTTGAAGATGAAATTGAAGGATGCAAAATCTTAAAAGGCCCTTCTGGTTTTGAAGCAGCAGGACTGCAATCTAAGCCTGCCGGCATTCTCACTCAGGGCTCTGCAATCTTGCACTAAGTCACAATTGTCTTTCAAGCGGCTGGCTGGTAACTGGTTAAATCAGTGTGAATGGTCCCATCCGGGGAATTTAAGTTTCCAAATAGCTTGGTTTAAGATGGCAACACTCGGGCGGAGGTTTATTACGAGTGGGATGGTAGGCTTTAAGAGGCTGACCCAGGGCTTAATCACAAGGTTTGACTTTTGCTGAGTGCCGCGGGGAAGGCGCGCGTCCGTCCAGAACGCGGACGTCGCCGGGCTCGGGGCCAGGCCCCTGGGGACGCGCGCTCGGCCCCGGCCGCCGCGACCCAGACACCGAGGCGCTGGCTTGGGACCCACCCTGGGGCCCTCAGCTTAGACGCCCTGCGGGAATGAGGCCTCGTCCTTCCCTCTGCAGCCGGCCGGGCAGCGGCGGAGCGGGGAAGAGAGCGCCGGGGGCGCGCGGGGACGGCCACCAGCTGGAGCGCGCGCCGCGGCGGCCGAGCAGCCGGAGCGGCCCTGGCTGGCGGTCCCGTCCCCCGACTCCAAGGCCCACTCGCGGGGTACGAGGCGGGCGGGAGGTGCCCGCAGCCAACCTCCACCGCCTGCCCGCCGGCTCCGTCGCCACGGCCGGATTCTTCAGCCGCACTCCAGAAGCCCGCCCCACCCTGCCCCGAGCTCCCCGCGGGGACCTATCGCGCGGCCGAGAACGCGGCTCCGCGCGCTGGGGATGCCTCGGCGCTGGGCTGAGGACGCCGCGAGCCCGGCTGTGGGAGTGGGACGCGGCCCGAGCGAGCAGCTCTGCGGCCCAATAGCTTTCCTTGCCCTCGAGTGCCGGCCAATGAGGCGCGCGGGGCGGGACTTCCGCCTCGCCTCGGTGTTGTCGCGGCGCTGACTCCCGGCGGTGGGGTCGGTGCGGATGTTCAGTCATGAAGTCAGGGTAGGCGCTTCTCCCGCACCGACGCGGCGGGCGCTCCTGTTTGCGTGGTGGGGCTCGGGCGATCAGGTAAGAGCCCCCGCCACGTCGCGGCGGGGCGGCGGGTGGTCCCCCGCAGGGCTGGCTCCGAGAACACACCCCCTCGCGGTCCCTAGAGTTCCGAGGCGGCCCCGCGGCTGAGGTCTGCCCCGCTCCTTCCCGGGCTGGGCGCGGAGAAAACGAGGCTTTTTTGCAAAAGGAATAAAAAACCCTGTCCCGGGAGGGCCGAGTTCTCCCCGATCCCTTGAGTATCTGAAGTTGTTCTGCGTCTGCCATGACCCTCCTGAGTTAGCGGTGGCCTGAGAAGACGTTGGAAGGCTTCTCTTTGGCATGGACTTGCTGCAAAGTCGGGCGAAATCCCTTTACTTTAGCCGCGGGGGCTCGTTAGTCTTTGAGAAAAGGAGAGCAGGTACCTCCTTGCTAACCTTTTTGCCCGCCCCTCCTTCAACCGCCCTCCCCCTTCCTCTCCTCCCTCCGGAAGTTTAGATAGAAGGTGGGACGTGACTACTCTGTTGGGGACAGATTCCTCTTCTCCCTCTTCAAGCCCGTAGTTCTGCCGGGACTTTTGTTGGTTGACCTGCACTGATGAGAGGACTCCGTCCCAGAGAGGGAGTGGGCAGACACCGAAGCGATCCCAAAAGCACTCACGCAACTTTTGTGGCAGCCCCTGACTGTTCTCAGCCTGCTTTTTGGTCCTCTATTTTGCCCTACTCTGGCAATAGTGAAACTAAACTATCATTTAATCCTCAATTTCAGCACCGTGGGCAGCTGCTCAGTTCCTCTTTAATAGCCCCAAACCTGCCTGTCTCCATAGGTTTGGTAGACCTCATTGACTTCATCAGTGATGCAGCAGGGACAGTGAAAACAGGCAATCCTTTAAACAGCGGTCTGTTTTTCCAAGAAGATCTGCAGTTTTGATACAATATAAATAAATAAAATGAGTGTTTCTGCAAAGACTTGTAGAGAAACATCGGTTCATAGATTTTTTTCAAAGATTAAAGACAATTTTTTAATGGCTTGACAAGATTAGCTCCACTTGAGTAACAAAATTGGACTATGGTAACAGATAAGAAGAACTTTAAGCAGGAGGTAAGAACTGTAGTGCAGTATTTTAATGCAGTTCCTATGGGGAATTAGTAATGGATTTTAGAATCAATTTAGTACATCAACATTAGAAAGAAAGAAGGAAAAAAAAATCAGGCGGCACCTATGGAGTAAAAGCAAATATTATTTCATGAAGTTTGTGTTTCAGGTTTTAAAAAAATGTTAAATAGATGTTTTAATAAGAGGAAGATGTAAATGTATACTGTATTGTTGTGGATTGTTATGTTATGACAAAAAACTGGATCCCAAATTTGTGAGTAGACTAGATTCAGCCTTCAGCTCTGCCACTTATTAATTCTGTGACATTGTAACTAGAGGAAAAATAGTTGAAAATTAGTTGAAATGAAGTATGTCTGTTACATAGTTAAGCCTAAAAACATTTTTCTTTTTTGGAAGTGATTCAATAAGAAGCCCAGTTATTTAGGAATGGGAGTTGTTATAGTAACAAGTTTTTTTAACTTATGCTTTTATTTGAAGTCTGTCAGCTTGTCATATCCAGGTGTAATTAAAAAGCATGTGGACTAAATCTTGGTTTGTGAGGGCTAATACTGAAGGATTTGGAGTAAGTTCTCATGTATCCTTACTTAAAACTCATTTCTTTTGAGCATTTTGGAGAAAAGGAGAACTTGCCTGTTACCAAAATTCAGCTTTTCTCCTTTGGTGTTTTTCTGCAGAGCAATATAGATTAATCAGAAGTTTTTAGACACTAATTTTAGCAAAGTGAAGACAGAACTAAGGGTATGAAAGATATATTTCTTAAAGTAAATTTGTTAGGAAAGCATTTTATATTTTTTGTCAGGAAGTTGTATGAAATGAAATGACTTGGTGAAATATCATGGTATGCTTCATGTTGGTGTGACCTAAAAATGATTGGCATTTAACTGAAAAACATGATTTTGGGCATTTTAAAATCTGAGAATTAATAATGTTTGGCAGAAGGCAAAAGGAGTTTGAATCAGAATAGTGTTTTGCACCATTTGACATATTACCATATGGCATTGCATATGGTAGCATCACAGGATATAAAAAAAAGGAAAGAACGTTGGTAAGCATTGTTAGTTTTCTCAAGGAGGAAGCACAATGAATAGGCAAGTGAATTTCTTTTAATAAGCATAGTAGTTAATCAGTTGTTTCAAATTTCATGTATTATACAAATATTTATTGAACATATATCAAAATATTATTAATCTTTTACAGAGTTTTTATATCATCCAAAAGTTGATTTGGGAACAATGAGAACATATAATTGTTATTGTCAGAATTTACATATCTAAATAAAAAAAAACAGTAAATAAAAAACAACAGTAATAATAGCTAACAGTGATATTTACTATGGGCCAAATACTATTTTGAGTATTTTATATTTGTGTAATTCTCACTGTTATTACAGTGGTGCTAGCACAATTATTTCATTTACACAGATGGGGAAGAATAAATGACATGCTGAGTTCAAACAGACAAGTTGTTAATGGAGTCATTGGAGTTTGAGTGCAAGCATCCAGATTATAAAGCCTGTGTGTCTTCTGTCATTTTTTAAAATTAAAAAATAGAGAATGCTGTGGGGGCTATTTTGGATTTTTTTTTAAAGATTTATTTATTTATTTATGTAAGTACTGGGTACAGTCAGAAGCGCGGGAGGGTGAGAGAATGCACCAGAGCCAGAGCGGGGAGCAGAGCAGGCAGAAGGACCGAAGTACACTGCTGAGGGGAGCAGTGGGCGGCAGGAGAGGTCTGCGCGCCATGTGGGACCCTTCTCCGGCGGCCGGGGGGCAGCTGGGGAGCAGCCGGGGAGCAGCCGGGGTGCAGCCGGGGAGCAAACTGGCGCTGCACAGGCCGCTGGCAGCTTCCCAACCCAGCGCTCAACCGCTGCGCCACTGGGAAGGCCCTATTTTGGATTCTTTACTGATCTCCTTAAGCCCTCAGTTTACTTAACTCTTTCCCGAAAAATATGGTATTAAGTCGTTATGTTTTTGTGGTTATTAGTATAGCTTGTTAAGCTCTAAACTGACTGTGTTCAATAAATGATATACCTGAGCCTTTTTCCTTTCATTGAGGATTTGGCCATTTGAAAATTTGTTGGCAGTTGGAGGAGGATGAGAGAGGAAAGAGTTTCAAGTAAGACCACCACCCAAACAAAGGTATAGAGATAGGAAGGCAGAGGGTATGGACTTTGTGCATGACTCTTAGTTGAGACAAACATCTCTTTATGGATGTTAATGTGGAATAAAAGTGCAGTAAACCTGGAGATAGGAAAAGAGTTTAGTTATAGTAGTTGAGGAAGGAAGTGACAGTGGGATTGTAGTAAAGGACATAGATTTGAGAATTGTTGACACTGGGAACTGACATGGGTATGAATGTTAGACAAAATTTTGGGGATGTACGTTAGACAAAATTTTGGGGGGATAGTGATGCTTTTAACAAAAATAAGGATCTTATGATGAAGAACAAGTTTTGGTGGAAGATGATTTAGAAGGAAGACTTATGATAACCATCTTAGTTCTGGAACTGAGGAGTTGTTCAGACCTTTGAAAATGTAAATTGGAAACTGAGAGATCTGTGTATTCCATAAACAGGAAAGAAACCAACTGCTCACTTTATGAGTAAATGGTCTACAGCAATTATCCTGCTGTGGGTCAGAGTTTCACAGTAATGATATAACTCCTGCCTTCAGAAATGCTAATTTCTCACTTACTGAGATGTGTGTACTATGTACATACTGTTTTCCCCCTGTATTATACTTTGTGTCCCTCATGACATGAGGGAAGGTAGTGGGGTGGGAAAATTTTTGGAAAACTAACTAGTCTCCAATTTATTATTTTAAAAGAGATCTGGTAAAATGAAGACTAGGGGTTATCATACTAAGAACTTAGAAAGATGCTATGATTTTTATGTAATGCCATTCATTTGTATACATACATTGAATTGTTGCAATGTCTGTGGATTTGTTATTTTTGTCATTCTTTCTTTGTTACTCTGAATTGATTAATAGCAAAGCCTTTATAATCATAATACCTGTGCACTTGGTAGAAAGGTCTTAGGGGTATTGGTATTGTACTCTACTTGTATTCAAGATTATGGAGGATAACCTCACTGGATGAAATAAGGCTCCATCGTGCTTTAGGATGAGTAGGGATTTTGTGAGGAATACCTGTGCCATTCTCTGGTTGAATGTGAATACCAAAACCCATTCTCTGGTTTCAGTTGGTTATTGCATTCTGTAAATGGTGAGGATGATAATTCCAATTCTGACCTTGAAGGATGGAAAGAAAAGCATCTAGAGACATTTTATACATGAAAGAAGGCTTACTTTTAAGTAAAAGAACTATAGGTTTCCTTTTTTGGCAGTTTTTCTTGGATTTAGTGCAGCTGGGTAGGGCATGATATTAAAATAACCAGTTTAATTTACTCATTTCTGAACTCTCTTGGTTCTCTGTACTGTTTAACCCAAATAACTGGCTAAGCACATAAAAGTATTGGGGACAAAGAAAGACTTAATATATTCTGTCACATCATTGTTGGAAATATTATTTGGATTCTAAACATAAGTTTTTCTATAGCATTTCATTCATTCAGCAAATTACCTACTATGTCAGACACTATTCTGGGCACTTGGAGTAGATCAGTAAACTGATAGAGACAAAACCCCTTGCTGTCATGGAACTTTTCTTTTAGTGGGAGTTTTAAAGTATGTTTTCATAATGAAAGTAGGTATATTTTCTTGTAATGTGTATTTGTAAAATCACAATTTTAGCAGATAATAAGTGCTATACTAGATTGCAACTAATTCTAAGGAGCATTTTTTAGTATATGTGCTGCTGAAGCAAGCACACTAAAGAGCATTTTGAAGAAAGAGTCTTTCTTATATATGTCTCTTTCTTACTTTCTTTCCCCAGTGGAATGGCTTAGATGTATGTAAAACTCAGCAAAGTATTCATGAAATGCTTATGATGAAGAAAAAGGAAGTTGTGTTGTAACAGGGCCAGATCTGGTTAAGTAGGAGCAAGATGGCAATATAGTTATTCCTTGCCTTGCTCCTGAGAGGAACAGTTAGCCAGAGGTACACTCTGTTAGCCATAAGAATACAGAAAGTCTTATGGCTTGGGGTAAAACAGGAACAACCTTGGGCTTAATAGATCATACATACTGTGACAAAGAAGAGAGTCATGCTTTAATGAAAAGAAGGTAGGTGGAGAGAAATGCCTAGAGGCTGCTGTCTGGGGCATAGGTGATAAATGTAGTGGGGATGCCAGTTCAACCAACCACACTGGATTGGGGAGAGCTAAATATGGTGCAAGCATATGCTTGACTGAGGAAAACACATGCTTCCCATAGACTGTCCCTCTCCCTCCCTCACCACTTATGAAGTACTAACCTCATGAAGTATACTGACAGTGCATGGACTGCAGATTTTTAGAGATGGACCCCCAAAGAGAGAGTTATCAATGGTGCCACAAACATGAGCCAGCAGCCCCCCCCCAGCATAATTACACAAGTAGGGGTCTTACAGGGGTCCAGGACCCTGCCTGACTCTGTGACTCAGCAACTATAGGATCAGGTGTCAGGATATATGAACACCAACAAAGGCCCAAAACTAAAACACTACCTACTGGAAAAGTAAAAGTTAAACTTTATATGTTGCTGCCACAGCTATGTATAAACTCTACACACACACACACACATACACACACACACATATTTATATATATATATATATATGAATATATATATATTCAAAGACTTGAATATTTTATCTCTTTATCAGACAGAGATTTTAAGATTGTAATAATAGGGAATATTTAAATCATAGAGAAGAAAACACTGAAGTGTTATGAGAGAGCTCAGTAAAGCTAATCAGAGATATGACAAAATTAAGAAAAACATATCAACCTGAGAAATAAAATTAATGAACATAAAATAGAAAGTGAGGTTTTAAATAAGGAAATAATGGAGTTGGAGGATAAAAAAGCTATTAGAGTAGAATGTAC